CAACAACAACAAGGTTCCATAGAGAGAGGTCTAGGCGTATGTTGTTGTTGTTAGGTGCCATCAAGTTGGTTCCCACTCATAGTGACCCTGTGCACCACAGAACCAAATCCTGCCCAGTCCTGCACCATCCTGACAATCATTTCTATGCTTGAGCTCATTGCTGTTGCCACTTTGCAGATCCATCTTGTTAGAGGTCCTCCTCTTTTTCTCTGACCCTCCACTTTACTGATCATGATGTCCTTCTCCAGAGACAGGTCCCTCCTGATGACATGTCCAAAGTTTGAGAGGCCAAGTCTCGCCATCCTGGCTTCCATGGACCACTCTGGCTGTACTTCTTCCAACGCAGATTTCTTTGACAGTCCATGGTACTTTTAATATTCTCCTTCAATACCATAACGTAAATGCATCAATAGTCCTAAGGTCTTCTTTATTCAATGTCTAACTTACACATTCATATGGAGCTATTGAAAATATCATGGCTTGGGTCAGGCGCACCAGGTGTCCCAAGTAACCGGTCTTGTAAAATTTGCACAGGCATTATTTCTACCACAAGGCCTTATTTTCCAACTGCTGATCATTCCTCTTTGTCTCCAACTTTAACATTCCAATCACCAGTAAGTATCATTGCATCTCGATAGTGTTTGATAAGTTTCAGACTGAAAAAGTTGGTAGAATTCTTCAATTTTGTCATCACTGGATTTAGTGGTTAGTGCGTAAATTTGAACTCATCTTCCTTGTAGGCATGCAGATGTTATCCTATCACAGACAGCACTGTGCTTCAAGATAGGGCTTGAAATGTTCTTTTTGACAATGAATGCAATGCCATTCCTCTTTAGTTTGTCACTCCTGGCATAGTTAGCCATATGATTGTCAGATTTAAGACGACCAATACCAGTCTATGTCAGCTCACTAATGCCTAGGAAACAGTCATTATGAGTTCCATTTCATTTTTGACAACTTCCGATTTTCCTATATTCATGCTTCATACATGCCAGTTCCAATTATTAGTGGATGTTTGCAGCTGTTTCTTGTCATCCTGAGCTGTGCCCCATCCACAAATGAAGGTCCTGAAAGCTTAACTCTTATCTAGATCATTACGGTCAACGCGACTTTGAGGAGGCAACTCTTCCTCAGTTGTATTTTGCGTGCCTGCCAATCTTTGAGGGACTCCTCTCTGGCACAAAACCTGACAATGTTCTGCTCCTAACCATTAAGGAGTGGTCTGCCTCTCTTCTTCCTAGCCTGTCCAGCCTGGATGCTCCGTGGAAATCTGTCCACCATGAGTGACCCTGCTGGTATTTAAGATATCTGTGGCAAGCTCTCAGCATCACAGGAACACACAAGCACCAAGAATGACAAGCTGGCAGATGAGTAATGGGTCTTGCAAATGGATAAATAAATTCCATGGTTTTACTTTATTCCTCATTTGCCTGTCCTTTGTTCTGTAGCCCAGGGCACCAGTGGTCTCTTCTTCATGAAATCTTATTTTCCCCTCATTGGTGTGTGGTTGTTATGTGCCCTCAAGTCAATTCCAGCTCATAGTGACCCTCTGTAGGGTTTCTGAGGAGCAGCTGGTGGGTTTGAACCACCAGCCTTGTGGTGAGCAGTCCGTCCGGTGCTTACTAGTGCCACAACAGGACCCTCTCTTGGCTAACTGGTTTCCATTTCTCTATAATGGCTTCTTATGCTTCCTTCACTGGCTCTTCTTCTGACTCCTTAAAACACAGACACACCTGATAATTCTGTATGTAAATGTCTTCCAGGGCAAAACATCTTCGCTCTCTCTCTCTCTCTCTCTCTCTCTCTCTCTCTCTGTCTAGCTCAGCCTGGCAAAGAAACCATAATTCAATTCCTATTCCTAGAATGTTTGGTTATTGAATCAATTTGTTTGCTAGACACCCAGCTGCCTTATCAAACTCACCCCATCCAAAGCCCAAATCTTTCCACGTTGTCCCCAAATTCAGTTCCTCCTCTGGTTTCTGCCTCCTATGAATGTCAGTTACCTAGATCCAGACATCACAATGTCCCTTCATTTCCCCTCTCCCTTCCCTTCTCCTAGGAGCCCTGATCGTACCGTAGGATAAGGACCGGACTGCGAACTGCAAGGTCACAGTTCAAACCCAGCAGCCACTCCTCAAGAGAAAGATGAGGCTGTCTGACTGCGTAAAGATTACACCTTTTGTAGGGTGGCTACTTAGGAGTCCTGGTGTGGTGTTGTAGGTTAATGCGCTGGACTGCAAAGTCAGTTTGAACTGCAAGGTTGGTGGTTCAAGCTCACCAGCCACTCCCTGGGAACCCTATACAGGATCGCTATGGGTCGGAACTGACGATGGCACTTCACATCAACAGGGTGGCTATGAATTGGAATTTCCTTACCTCCTTCTACTTTCAGTCATATCTATAAATACCAAATCATACTGTTTCCACCTTTACTGCTTCCCAAGTCATGAGATTATTGTTCTATCCCTGCATTAATAAAAATCGTCAGCCACGTTGTTGTTAAGTGTTGTCAAGTTGGTTCCGACTCATAGCAACCCTGTGTTCAACAGAATGAAGCACTGCCTAGTCCTGTGCCATCCTCATCTTTGCTGCTGCCACTGTGCCAATCTAGCTCATTAAGTATCTTTCTCTTTTGCACTGACCCTCCACTTTACTAAGCATAGTATCACTCTTCAGGAACTGGTTCCTCCTGATAATACGTCCAAAGTATGAAAGACAAAGTCTGGCCATCTGGGCTACTAAGGAGCATCCTGGTGTACTTCTTCCATCACAGATTTGTTTGTTCTTCTGGCAGTCCCTGGTACCGTTAATATTCTTCTCCAACACCATAATTCAAATGCATTAATTCTTCTATGGTCTTCCTTATCATTGTCTCACTTTCATATGCATATGAAGCTATTGAAAATACCTTGGCTTCGGTCAGATGTACTTTAGTCCTCAAACTGACATCTTTGTTCTGTTAATTATTTGACACACTGATGGTTGACTGAATTTCTTAATGTTAGGCTTTCATCATTCTGTGGTATTCTAGGACACCTCACTGTACACAAATTTAACAACACACTGCTCACCTTCGGGAGGCCTGGTGTGGCACTATAGGATAGGCAATGGACTAGTCACAGCAAGGTCTGCAGTTCCAGTCGCTCTCTGGAAGCCCTATACAGGGTCGCTATGAGTCAGAACCAACTTGATGGCACTTAATAATAAGTCACCTTGGCCTCCACGCCCTATGTAATCTGAGCTTAATGGTGGTTTCCTTCCAGTGCAATATGTCACTACTTTCCTGCCCATTCCCTATACTATACCCACGTTTTCGTTCTGAAGAACGTTGCCTCTTAAAATAATTTCGTGATTTTGTCTTCAAGTAATGAAGCCCTCTTGCCTCATTGACAACTCCTTCTACATTTCTTTTGTGACTATTTTTTTTCTTTCTTTTTTTCCAACCAAATCCTAAACATTAGAGCTCCCCAGGGCTCATTAATCCTCTTTTCTGTCTATACTTTAGGAACACCATCTACATATTAATGATTCCCAAACTTTCTACCTCCAGTTCAGCTCCTTCCCCTAAGCTTCAGACCCCAAAATCCAACTACTTACTCAGCATCTTCCTTTGGCTGTCAGATAGACACCTCACACCTAACATGCACCGACTTGAACTTGTGAGTTCCTGTGCAGACTCTCCCATGTCCATACATGGTGAGTCCAGCAGTCTAGATGCTCAAGCCAAAACCCTTGGAGTCATCTTTGATTTTTCTTTCTCTTTCTCTTCCCCCACATCCCATCTATCAGCAAATCCTATGGGCTCTACCTTAACAATATAGACAGAACTGACCACATCTCACCATTTTCCCTGCGGGAGAAAGATGAGGCTTTCTACTCCCATAAAGACTTACACCCTCGGAAACCCTGTACAGGGTCGCTATGGGTCGGAACCGACTCGACGGCACATAACAACAACAATTTTGGTCCAGGCCACTTTAGCTCTGTGGCACTGTAAGATAAGCACTTGACCATAAGTTCAGTTTGCACTTCAAGGTTGGCGGTTCAAACTTGCCAGTCATCACTTGGGAACCCTATACAGGGTCACTGAGTCAAACCAACACGATGGCACTTAACAACAACAATAACAACAACCTGGGAAGCTAGGGAGTCCTGGTAGTGCAGAGCGTGAAGCACTGGGCTGCTAACTGAAATGTTCTATATGGTCACTGTGAGTCACAAACAACTCAATAGTGGTGGGATTCGTTTTGGTATCTGGGAGGATACTTGTTCCTGTCCCCTTCTGTCTAGTCTTAAAACATCAAAAAATAGTCCTGTTCAAAGGAAGATAAATTATGTCACGCCTCTGTGATGCACTCTAATAGCTTCCTAGCTTACTCAAGAGTCAAAGCCTAAATCATTAAAATGGCCCACAGGGGCTCCATGATCTACGCCTCACCCCAATATTCCACTGAGCTCAGCCTTTGCTGTTAAGCTGCTCATTTTTCTAAAGCCTCTCTGTCTTCCTTGTTCCTCCAGCGCATCAAGTACACACTGCACTCGCTGTTTTCTATGCACAGAACAACCTCCCCCATGCTGGGTATCTTCATCAAGTTCATGATCAAATGTCACTTTTCCAGTAAGAACTTACCTGCCCACCCTAAAACTGTGTTCCTTCCCCACCGTTGTATTCTCTGTAGCATTTTATTAGCTAGGAGCTTACGTCATGGGCTGCTAACTACAAGGGCAGCAGTTTGGACCCACCAGTTGCTGCATGGGAAAACGATGTGGCTGTCTGCCCTCATAAAGATATACAGTCTCAGAACCCAAAGGGCCAGTCCTACTCTGTGGGTCGCTGTGAGCTCAAGGCGGTGGGTTTGGTTCTTCATGTGAGTTACTGTCTCAGTTTTGTTGTTGTTATGAAGTGCCATCGAGTCGATTCCGACCCATAGTGACCCTGTATAGGATTTCCGAGCAGCAGCTCGTAAGCTTGAACCACCGACCTTGCAGTTCAAAGAGACTTTGCAGTTCAGCGCTATCTCAGTAAAAATGTGTAAAAGCTGATCAAGCCCAAATGAAATGGCTTCAAGCGCTTACTCACCTGGGTCTAGGGTGAGCTGGGAAGGCTCTGCTGATCTAGGCTGGATAACTCTTTGTGGAGGTGGCTGGAGCACATCTGCTTCACACTGACTGGTAGTTCGCTGGGACCCTTCTTTTCATTTGTGTTCATTCACACACTCATGTTCTGTGCCTATGTCAAGACAGTTACCTACATATGCACCTGTGTATAGCTGCTAACTATATGTTAATTTAGTCTTATCTTTTTTAGATTTGGTTTAATATTCAACGATATGATTCCCCTCTAAGGATGAATTTTGATGTTACCAAACCCAAGCTATGGAAATCTTTTTTTTCAAGAAACCTTCCATATCCTGGCCTTTCTAGTGTACAGGTAAAAATATTTTATTAAAAATTAAATGTAACATATGATAATAATGTTCTCCCATGTAAACTATCACATAATTCACAATAAAAACTTTAAAAAAAATTAAATATATTAGAAATTGGCTACTTAAAATGGGGGTGATGGTGCTACAGAGGCACAAAGTAGCTGGCTTACAAGTTTTCAATAGGGAGTTTAGTTTCAGAGTATGCGGAGGAAGGTAGAATCCCCACTGAATAGGAGGCTGGTTTGCACAATGTGTCCTATGATTGTTTAAATAATTATATATTCCTGAGTGTTTTTGTGTACATAAAAAAAAAAGCCAGAGGGAATAGAAGCAAATACTCTTGAATGATGATGTACGGAGATTATAATCATTTCAATGAAATGAAATACGATAGTATAAGTGTAAAACCAATGTTCTCTCATGTAAATGATCACTCAATTCACAATAAAAAATTTAAAAAATAATGAAATATCAAGAGAGAAAAGGAGTAATTTGAAATCATTATCCTCGGTAGGGTAGCTTGACAGTTTGTGGTCTTTGTGGCACAGATGGTTAAGCACTCAGCTGCTAACTGGAAAGTGGGTGGTTCAAACCCACCTTAGTGGCTCTGCAGGAATAAGACCTGTAAAGATTGCAGCCAAGGAAACTCTCTGGAGCAGTTCTCCTCGGTCACATGGGCTTGCTGAGTTGGAATTGATTCAACTGTGCCTAACAACACTTCAGCTCCTAAGTATTTAGCATAGAACGGTGTTTGTGTTTCATAACAAGAAAGATATTTGATCTTATATACCAGTATAAATATATGCATGAAAGAAAAAAGCTCTAATATAAAAGGTACTACAAATTCTATTCTACCTTCTCCTATTTTTTAAATGCTGATCTTAATTCACTACAGTGATTTCACAGCCATTCAGGAGACATGAAGTCCCCCCAGAGTCTGCACCATTGTTCTTATGAGTCACTGAGTCAGTTCCCACTCACAGAGACACTGTGGAGGGATTCTGAGGAGCAGCTGAACTTGTGGTTAGCAGTCCAGTGCTTAGTCTACATTGCCACACCAGGCCAAATAATCCATTGTTGTTGTTGTTAAATGCTATCGAGTCAGTTCCAACTCATATCAACCCTATATAGGGTTTCCAAGGAGCCACTGGTGAGTTTGAACCGTGAACCTTCTGGTTCAAACCGACCTTGCAGTCTAAGGTATCATAAGACTGGATTGTAAGATTAATTTAGAGGGTCCGAATTGGACAACTGGAGTCCTGGTGTGGCGCTGTGTGTTAATGCATCAGACTGCAAAGCCATTTGAGCTTCAAGGTTGGTGGTTGAAGCTCACCAGCTGCTCCTTGGAAACCCTATACAGGGTCACAGTGGGTTGGAACTGACTGGACAGCATTTCACAACAATTGGACTGCTAAGCCCAAGTTTGGGAGATGACACTAACGAGAGTGATGAGGCTGTGTCTTTGCATAAGATTTATAGTGTCTCACAAACCCTATAATATGGGCACCATGAGTTGGAATGACTTGATGCCAGTGGATTTTAGGGTTTATGTTTCATTTGCTTCTGACAGTAGATCAGTCAGTACATTGGAGCATTGGTGGAGCAGTGCAGTAAGCATTGGGCTACTAACCACAAGCTTTTGGCAATTTAATCCTTCCAGCTTCTTCAAAGGAGAAAGACGACGCTGGTACTCCTCCTGTAAGAGCAGTTCTACTCTCGTCTCTAGACTTGCACTGAGTTACTCAGCACATTAAGGAATGCTGGTGGCACCGTGGTTAAGCACCTGGCTGCTAACTGCAAGGTTGACAGTTCAAACCCACCAGCAGCTTGTAGGGAGAAAGATGTGACCATCTTGGACACACTGTGGAATAGTTCTACTCTGCCCTAGAGTGACTATGAGTCCGAATCTACTTGAAGGCAGTGTGTGCTTATTATTACGTTGTTGTTGTTAAATGCTGTCCAGCCAGTTCCCACTCACAGTGACCCTGTGTAGGGTTTCCGAGGAGCAGGCGGTGGGCTTGAACCTCTGGCCTTGAGGTTCGCAGTTCAGTGCTGATCCTACAGTGCCTCTAATGGTTTTTAAGCCCTCCAAACTGAGAGTCTTGCAGCATTAGGCCATGCTCTACTGCCCAGGTGGAAGGATCAGTAGGCAGAGCGGAGCGAGCTTCACTCCCACGCTCTTGCCTGCCTCTGACTTGTGCCCACTACCGCTGCCACCGCCACTTCCTTCGGCTCCACCAGCAGCAGCAGCAATGGCGACCAGGACAACTGGAAGCAGGCTTCCCGTAAGGGTTTAATATGATGTTCGCGTAACGTCCCCATACCTGTAGTTAAAATGAATTAAGTGCAACCTTACACATCAGCCTGACTGGATCTTAGGAAGCACACAACAGTGCAGTTTGGGTCATGGCTCCTCTTGTGAGAAGAGGAGGGACATGAGGTTGAGGAAGAACAATGTTGTTGTTGTTGTTGTATAGGGTTTCCAAGGAGCAGCTGGTGTGTTTGAACTGCCAACCTTGTGGTTCAAACCGACCTGTAGTCCAGTGCTTATTTTAGAGAGCTGCACCAAGACTCCAGGAAGAACAATGCAGCACTGTCATTTAGGTGTAATGTTTTATTTAAGGTGGGTCATGGCTACACAAACATCCATTATATTTTATTGACAATCTGAGATTTCATAACTAAACATTTTTAAAGAATGTTCATCTTTTAGACCCTAAGTGTATGTGATTTCTAGAATTTCTGAATCATTTTCTCGTAGCCAGAAGAACTAATTTACCAGCGCACGGACAAAGCAGCTGCAGCTGAGCTCCAAGACAGGTAACTTCATGTTCATAAATCCACAAATAATCTGTCACTTGGCACATAAGACCACACTTCAGCTGATTCTCAGCCTGGATCAATGTGAACTAATTTGGGCAATTAAACAGCATTTCATGTTGACAGAAACCAAGTACAGACGTGATCTCTAAATCGCATGACTCAAAGGAGGCATTTGCATCCACGTGGTGTGGGAGAACAGTGTGAATTCCAGCCATGATATGCTGTTTTCCACATGTCTTGCTTGCCTCAACACCAGGCAATTACAGGTCTTGTTCAGACACATTGTGATCCTCAGCTGAAATATGCCTCTTCTGACCAATGATGAGTGGCTGTTTTATGTATTTAGTGTAGTCATCCCAGAAATTACCACAAGCTGGTAGCTTTAACAAGCACACAGTCCAAATTCAGGCTGCCGGCTCTAGAGGAAGACTATCTTTCTCTGTGGGCCCTGAAGGAAGGTCCTTGTCTCCTCAGCTTCCGCTTCCTGGTTCCTTGGAAATCTCCGTGTATCTTTGGGATCTTTTTTTCCCCATCTCTGCTCTGCTCCATTGTTAAATTTCTTTTATCTCAAAAGGGGTTGACTTCAAATACACCCTACAGGAATCCTACCTCATTAGCATAACAAAGAACCCCATTCCCAGATGGGATTACAAACTACAGAGGCATATTGTTGTTAGGTGCCATGGACTCATAGCAACCTCATGTACAACAGAAGGAAACACTGC